ATAGTTTCCAACTGCATATAGACGTAAAACGAATCAATCAATCAATCAATTAATCTATATTAGCTTTCTTTTTAGGTTCTAGCCGGGGCTGTAGATTAATACGTTGTGTATTAAGAAAGCATTAAATAGTAGCTCGTACGGTACGGCGCGAAACATGTGTGAGTCGAAATTTAAGATTGGCTAGTGCCTGCTTCGCTGCGGGAAATAATCTAAGTCGCTGGTTATAAGAGAGATCGGAGCCTCTTATAGATTCTTTAATAATTTGATCTGTAAAAAAACGTCCATGGTTGTATTATGTGAGGTGTAAAAGCGGGGTTAAGAGAATTTTGCGTAGGTGTTAGACCCTAGTAGCGACCCTTAATACCGCACCGTACGTTGCCTAGATAACTTAAGGTCGGGCTTTATTTAGTCGGCGATGATAGTTATATTTTCCGACTAATATATTCTCCTAAAGTTAACTACGTTTCGATCTATTACTTACCTCTCTTTCTTAGTCTACTACTCTGTATATTGGTCGTTCGGATACTGCTTAGTAATCGGGTGTTAAGTGTTCCGATCGATATAGCTGCGCAATCGCAACTTAACGTACTAATTAACGATAAACATCTATACGTAAGACGAACAAACGAACCAAAATGGCTTCGTATAACACGCTAACTCCTCTCGACTATAATCAATTTGAAGGACTTCAAGCGACTCCGTCTATCGCTTAGTTACCGCTGTTAGAGAACTGCGACCCTAAGGGTAATATTCGTCTAACCGCCCCCCTAATTATAATACCTAGGGTAAAGATACAAAAGTCCTTTATCGTCTCGTCTAAGGCTTTAAGGCTCGCCTGCGACCCCTGGAACAAGATGCTAGCGCTAGATAGCCCTTTCGTAGAGAAGGGCAAGATCGGTTAGGGCGAACTATCTTTTCCGGACGATAACGCGGTACCTTTGGCTATACTGCTACATATAGCGTACTTGAATTTCGATAAGGTCCCCTAAAATATGAATTTCCGGAGCCTTCTCGACCTCTTAATTTTGACGGATAAGTATGGCGCCACTAAACTCGTACGGCCGTGGATCAAGACCTGGATTGCCGATGTGCAGCATCTACTGCTAGAGCCCGCGTACGAAGAGTGGCTATGGATCGCCTGGGAGTTTGGCCGGCTAGCGTCTTTCCAAGAGTTAGCGGTACACTTAGTTAAGGAAGTAAGGGTGACTGCGAACGGCAGATGCGTTACACAGAAAGGAAGGATCCTAGATCCGTCAGGAGAGAGCTGCCAACTACCTCCAGACATTATTGGTAAGTTCATCGGTTGTAGGCTGATAAGCTTTATAGCTTACCTAGTCGCTAGAAAGCATCCTTGGTGTCCGACAACAAGTTATCCAAAGCTTGTTTGATATTTTCCAACGTTTCATCAAGGAATTTGCCGCAGTTCGGTCTCAAAATATCTATGGGACTCGCTGTAACTGCTCTAGTATGCAAGAGAATCAAGACGACAAGCGACAATGTGACATCTTAGCATTCGGATCCCTCACACTTTCGCTACACCAGGCTGGGCTGAGCTTGGAGAAGAGTTAGGTAGACAAGAAGGACAGGAGCATTACGGAGCTCTCTACGAAGCTTCTTGGCATCGAGGTGGTCATGCGTGGACATAGAGGTTACAGTAGCACGTGTAAAAACTAGTTGCTCAAGACAGAACTCCAGCAATCGATCAACATGGTGCTGAGCAACATTCCCTCGCCCGTTAAGGATATACACCGTCGTCACCTCCAACGCCAAGCAGCGGCGTGCGGCGCGGCTTGAACAAGGTAAAGCCTACGGGAGAGAAAGGATAGCGGTATTGGAAGCAGGTTTATAGATAATCTATACTTTTCGCGTACATTATCTATTGAGAGTATATGTTGTGAGATAAAGCGAGAGAATAAATGTCTGAGTTTGATTTCTAAGTAAGTGGCTATCTGCTGGCTACTTATAGCCCTAGATACCCTGTTGTCTGAATGTCTACATCATTGACGTACAGCACCGAGTTGGCTCATAGCATCATGGATAAATCGATGCATCATGGAATCAATATCGATATCATTGCTTCCAACACTAACGCACCAGATGGAACATTTTGGACGCGATGTATCGTGGGATAGACATACTAATATCGAGGCCAAGCGTGCTCTCGGTGCTTATCGGCTGATGTATTTCACACCCTTTACTGACAATCTTATCTTCCCATAAACAGCTTTGTAGTTTTTGTTTCGTTATCTTCTATCTCTGCTTCAAGCATATCAACACTAACCTGATCTCACAGCCCGGCCAGACGCGCCTATACGGGCTACTAAATGATGCCGTTTAGGCATTCAATGGCATCGTTGTCGTACCACTTATCGTGAAAGGGATTTATCCGCTCCTGTACAAGCTTCGCATACCTTTTAGGTTGATTATATAAATATTTACAGCTTTTTTGCTCATCAGCTTAGGTATGGCGTACGCGGTAGAAGTCCAAAAATTTATCTACTCCTCCAGCCTATGCTACGAGGCGCTACTTGCGTGCCTGGACTTAGCCGGAGGCATCATCTCGAACAATGTGAACGTGTAGGTCTAGGCGCTCGTTCACTTCATACTTAGATTTGGTAAGATCTCCGGCTTTGCGTTCGTAACAGAGAACTAGTACTCGGAAGCTCTAATTAACATAAAAGTTCTTGTTCAGTTAATGATGCAAGTGACGTCCGCTGTGGGAGTCTTAGGTATAATTATGTCGCCGCTTACCATCGATTCCAGTCTTGTTCTGATGTACTCTATACTAGTAGGAGCATTAGTCATATCTTCAGTCTTATTCTTGCTGGCTTTTCGCGGCTACGAAACCAAGGGAAAGATCAGGTTAGAAGATTAGACAGGGTAGGAAGAGTGTCAACATTCCACAGCTCGACTAGAAGCAGGTTCATCGCAGTAGAAATTATCGGGACGCTATAAACTTGGATACAATTCGTTTCGAGTATAGTCCTGGGCAGACTAAATAAAAGAGAGGTGCTTTTATAATTCTTCGGTTAATGCTGATCAACAACCCGGCCCGGTTGCCATCTCAACCCTAACGTCGCACAACCTCACGCAGGGAGCGAAGTAACAACAACGCCAACAACACGACGTAACGACACATCCCGCTCTCTTCACAATGAACCGTATCTCCGCTTGGTTGGACTCGCATCCTCGAAATCCCGAGGGCTACGATTGCGACGACCACTACCGTCAACGCCAACCTAAACGGCGTTGCCTCGGCGCTATATCGCCGCGAGAAGGCCTCCGTCGCTCTCTACGCAAGCACGTATCTGCGCCCATCACGCCGCCGCTGCGTCCGCTTTCCGACGAAAATGAGCAGACACCTAAAGCCATCGTCCCGGTCCTCGACTCCGTTATACTCCCTCCACCTTCGCCTACCCGCTCATCAATCAGCTAGTCTAGCACCGATAGCCGTCCGCGCAGTCCCGTAAGGCGCATAGGCGATCTAATGCTCGCTAATAGCCGGATACACATCGCCGCCCTTAGCGCACCCGGCTCGCGTACGGGCTGCTCCGCCCCCGATAGCGTCAAGCCGCTCTGCCGCGATCTTAACCGCCTGAATACTGGCCGCTGTATCATTCCGCATGAGCTCTTGCCACGCGCTGCAGCGCTTATCGATGAAGGATACCTAGACGAAATGAATTTTGGCGACGCTAGCGACCTAGTTGAAGCGGACTCTTAGGCGCGAATACATAAGATCATCGACGCGGCGACCGAGTGTCAGGACGCGGGTCTGCCCGAGGCGGCCTGGAACAGCGAGGTGTACTCGCGCGTGCTACGCTTTGCATTAGATCCATATCGCCGTACGACCGGCGTCTGGTATCGCGACATCACGACGGCACGGATCCGCGACCCGGAGCTGCTGCCGCGTTTCGAGGGCGGCGGCATCGGGCAGAGCAAGATGGTCGACTACGCCCTGATTCTCGAAGATTATAACGATGAAGACTACGCACTCTATAAGGGCTCCTGCAGCGACGGTACTCCTGGTAAGAGACGGCGGTTCGGGGACCGTGTCGCGGAAACACTGCGCCGCAAGGGCGGCGCCAGCATCAACCAAACGCGTATAGATCACGTACGCTATACACCTTTTGCCGTCAGCATCGAGACGAAGCGCGCCGCCGGGGAGGACGAGGCTCACGTACAGCTGGCGGTGTGGGTATAGGCACAGTTTGCTCGGCTACGGCAGCTCGCGCCGGCGGCAAAGTCATGGCCCGTCCTGCCACTTGTGGTTGTGCAAGGGCACGAATAGCGGTTGCTATTCGCTAAAGTAGTAGATGGCGGTTGTGCCATTCGGATTCTGCAGTACGTAGTTCTTGGGGCAACGGATATTGTATTGAGGGCCTATCAGCTTGTCGCTTCGTTGAGAAGACTGGCTCGGTGGGTCAAGGATGAGTACAGGCCGTGGTTTACTTGCGAGGTTCTAGGTATTTCGTAGTCACTTCACATTTGTTTCGATTTCGTAAGGCGTATTTTAGGTGTGCTATAACCTCACTCGAAGGCTTGAAGAACTAATTATTCAACTCCGTAACTTGACGCCTTCTCTCGAGACCTGGTCCTGCTTCAAACCATCCTAAAGATGCCGCCTAAGCAATCTATCTGGTCTTTGCAATAAAGATCCCGAATTTAACTCCCAAGGTACCGAAAACTTTTTCTCCCCTATAAAAGAAGAGGCTAGACACGGCGTAGCAGTCGCGCGACATTCGAGGGTTTCTCCGGATAGATGTTGTAGTGAGTAGCGACCGCAAAGAGCTTGTGATCCTTGCCAGAGTTGACGACTACCTTGACCATATGACGGTTCAGAGCCCTGTAGATGGCTGTAACCTCCTTTTAGAAAGTCTAGCGCATCTTATACTCCCCGAACATGTACATGTAAAGTAGGAAGTGGCGCGGGTGAAGGGAGAGGGTAGGAGTTAGATCTTGGCTCCGTCGTACTTAGTACGGCTAATTGCCAAGAATGCGTCTAAAGTCTCGCTCAACTTCTCGATGAAGGTACGAGCCTCGCGCAGTTCCCAGTTCTCTTCCCAGAGCTAGACTTAATGCTAGGATAGAGCGGTCTAACGGGGTAGACCGAGTATTCCGTAGCACTTGCGAAGGATTGCCTCTAGGATGACGCTCATCGTGTTAGGTAATTTGAAATATTATATGGAAAATGCTGTTGGTCTGTAAAGATTGAAGCTAGCTGGATAAAAATAAGCCTAGTAGGGACTATACTATGCTATACAGTATAACAGCCGAAAAGTAAAAATTAAGTGTTAGCTAGGATAACTCTCGTTTTTCATCCTCATTACAGTCAGTTGTTACACTACAGCCTTACCCCTTACCACACGTTTATACACTGCAAGGGAATAAGGATCTTATAGAGAAAACGTGTTCTTTTAGGTAGCAGCATATATACCTCTATAGGTAGCAGTAATCTAGAAGGACAAGCGGCGTCCAATTCCTCGCGCCTAGCTTTACATTAAGTATATAGTGTTCGAAAACCCTGTGTTAGTATTGGGTTGAAGGTTTAAACCGTGCAAGTAAAGTGAGAACTTAGCTTAATTTTAAAAGAGTGGCTGGCAGCGAACTTTATATACTTGAAAGAGTAGAGTAGTTATGTGCTCGCTTGTAGAGTGTAGCAGGGTGTTGAAACAACGAAAAAGTAAAGTGAATATAGAGGATAATGTGTCACGG